CCAGGCAAAGATGCCCTTGGCCACCTGTGTACACTGTTGGCTCCCCCTGAGCTGTGCCACCAGCACTGCCAAGGCCCTTTGCAACCAACACCTCTCTAGCTGTTGTGTCCAATGCAGGACCAGCACTGAGCCCATTGACTGAGCCATTCCAGGTCTCTCTGCAGAGGTTCCCTCCCCTGAGAGAGTGGCAGGCAGGACCCTGCAGGGCCCCTGAGGCTGCTCACCTGCAGTGACACCATTCTGGAGCGAGCCCTCGTAGAAGATGTTGGAGGGGAAGGCGCTGAGCGCAGGGTGCATGCGATACTGCACCTGCAGGCGGATGGGGCGGATGCCCAGCACCACCAGCCTCTCAAACAGGGACTGGGACAGACCAGCCTTGGCAGCTTTCTTACACATCACAACAGGCCCCAGCTGGCAGTGGTCACCCACCAGAATAAGCTGTGGGGAAGAAGAGTTTGGAGATAGCAAAGTTTAGTCTCTGAAAGTTGCTTCAAAAAATAGTAATATCCTACTATAAAATGTAGAATCACAGAGTGGTTTGGGTTAGAAGGACCTTAAAGCCCATCCAGTCCCACCCTCTGACATAGGCAGGGACACCTCCCACTAGCACAGGGTGCTCCAGGCCCTGTCCAACCTGGCTTTGAGCACTTCCAGGGATGGAACAGTCACAGCTGCTCTGGGCAACCTGTGCCAGTGCCTCAGCAGCCTCAGAGTCAACAATTTCTTCACAATATCTAATCTAAACCTTCTTTCTGTGAGTTTAAACCATTGCCTGATATGTCAGGCCCTTAAGCCTGACTTGTGATAAGCTTCAGATCTCACCTAAGGCTTAGGAACTTTTAGTATCGACTCTTCAGTTTACAGTTTTGAAATAAAATTCACTCTCCAGATTGTTCCAACAGTTCCAACAGGTTCCAGGCAAAGACTATGCCACGGAGACAGAAAACTAACAGGACTAACACAAAATGAAGTCATTTAGGTTTCTATTATGGCAATGTCTTCCATGAAAGAGAAGAATTTTGTATCCCTACATGCCTAGGCCATGAATCTACTGCTTGATGCTACTTCCTGTATGGATAAACTCCTCCTCTGACGAGATGCAAGGAATTTACCTGCTTTGCTCCCAGGACCACGGGCACCATGCACTCTGGCTCGGTGGCCTGGGTGCTCTCATCGATCAGGATGGAGCGGAACTGCATCTTGGCAAGCCTTGGGTCCCCTGCTCCCACACAGGTGCAGCAGATCACATCTGCATTCTGCCAGGGAAACACAACAGAACAGTCACGGGGGGTATCAACAGGGTTTCTACAGGAAAGAGGATTCCAGGCCCTGCCAGGAATCCCCTCGAGAGTTAAACTGTTTGCTGAGCTGCACCAGGTGGGGTGAGGGGGAAGCCATGGGAGCTCACCATGAGCAGTTCACGCTCTGCAGTTCGTTTCAGTGCTCGGTAACGCTTCTCATCGGCTGATGAGAGTTCTCCAGTCTCATCCTTGAGCTGCTGCAGCTTCTGAAGCTCTGGCATGCTGTAAAACACAGGAATTTTGCCTTAGGGCCTAATTATCAGCTTGGCAGGACAGTGAAAGTCATTAGTAACTAAACACGCACAGAACCGAGGTGATCACAAGAAGCAAATATCATGTACTGATGAGAACATCTCTCAGTTGTGTCCATCAGCACTGAAGTTGGGGTTTGCTCGTGTCTCACCTGTCCATGTTTCTGATCTGGTTGTGCAGTGCCAAGAAGGACACGGGGGAGTCGATGGCCTCCCGACTCTTGGCACACAGACGAACCACTTTGAGTCCAGTCTGGTGGATCTTCTCGGTCAGCTGGTCCACAGCGATGTTACTGGGAGCACACACCAGCACAGGCCTGGAGCACACACAGCAAAGAGCAACTTTCAATGAGCTATCAACATTTCACCACTAGATTTGTAATCCACTCGTGTGTTATGACACACGTTCCCTAAAAAGCTGCAGGGGAGGAGCATTTCCTGCAATAAACATCTGTAACTCATGACACAAATTGTTGTTTTTAAGGTCAAGGTGATTCTCTGCATTACTAACGTAACCTCACGGATAAAGATGGAGAGAGCAGTTCTTACCCATTGCCCTGTCTGGCCAGATGATAGACAATAGTGGCTGATGTCACTGTTTTTCCAGTCCCAGGGGGACCCTGGATAAGGCTCAGAGGACGCTGCAGGACAGTTTTCACAGCATAAACCTATCCAAAAAGAGTTTTACTCCTATTTAGCATTCCATGCAGAGCATGTTGGAGCTGTTCACCCTCTGTCCATAAATCCTTTGTCCCATTCTGAGCACACAATACACAGGAGATGAGGGTACCTGAGAATGGTTGAGATCAGGAAGTCCTTGTGCTGTGAAGCGCTTTGGCAACTGGCATTTAATGATGACATCCTCCACTTCATGCCCCAACAGCTTGTGATAGATGTACCCAGACACAGAGGTCTCGTCCACAGCAAATGTCTTCAGAGCACTCTGCATTCTGAAAGGAGGAATGGGATCAGTGTGACCTCAAACACAACTCGCCCATGCTGTCCTACACCAAGGTTAATCACACATCAGGCACCAACAGAGAGCAAAAGACAACATTTATTAACAGAATAAAGAGGTAAAATGACACTCTGACGACACAGATCTTGGTTTTCCCCACGTGAGTATCACAAGGTGTTACAGCCACAAAAATTGGTAGAGGAACTTCAGCCTTTGACAGAAGCTTGACAGGAAATTTAGGTGCAGCTGAACTACACAAGTGTTTTTCCTCTGACATTCCAAGAGTTACTGAACATAAGGGAAATTTCCTTGTTTGCAAGATGAAGACATTGCACTGAGAATAAATAGGATAATGAGACAGTAACAACAGCAGGTCCTAATAATAGGGAATTCTGATCTGTTTACAACATTTCCCCTTGCAACAAACATTAAGAGTGACTTTAACAAAGTGAAATCCACTGTTTGGCATTCAGATCATTCCATCTCCAGTAGAAGTCAGGCCTTTCTCTGATCAGAGATCTCATACTCTGATTTCTGATTGCTTAGTGCCACAAAGCAGCACAACTGCTGTTCAAAAGAGAAAGGAGAACACCAACTGCACCCACCACCTGCCAAGATCTGAAGTGTTTTCTCCATACCTGTCGAAGGAAGTTGACTTCCACACAAAATCCACTTGGAAGTTGTGAGTCACTTCCACAGGGGCTCCAACACTGCTCCTCAGCTCGATGGCAATCTCATCACCATAATCTGTAGAACCTGGTTAAGTAGTAATCTACAGCAAACATCTGAATTTTATTCTTCCCAATTTGCAGCAGATTTTTTTTAAAGCAAAATCCCCAGGATAAAATCCCAATTAATCTCAGAATTACTTTTGTGTGTATTTAATGACTTCTTGGAGAGGCTGCAACCTTGGACTGAGCTCTCTGAGTAAAGGATACTATCAGGGACTTTGATGACATGCCCAATTCCTTTCCACAGCGGGGCCAGGTCTCCTTTGTACCTCAGGCAGATCTCATCTCCTTGCATCAGACGCATGTCTACAGAGGAAGGGGAGAAAAAAATGCTCTTAGCAACCCTCTCCCAACACAAAACCTTCCAGGGCTATCTGCTGTCCCAGGCCAGGCCCCCACAGAGCTCTGAACACTGCTGCTATTCACCAGGCACAACCCCCTGACAAGAGAGACAATCGAGCTGTCATTACCTGAATCAGTCTTTGGCAGAGTGAAATAAGCAATTCTCTTCTTGTTCAAGCCCAGGTCCCATCTGACTGTGATGTTATCTTGGGTCTAAGGGTGGAAAAAAAGGCATCTATTATGTCCTCAAAGGGCTGTTTGTCAACTAGCACAGTCCTGGCTGGGCTGTGCTTCAGAGCAGTGGAGAAATAACAAAACTTGCTGTTCCAATGTCACAGAAATCTATGTTTATTCCTCACCATCTGCAGAAGGTAATTCTGTTCTACAAAAGAGCTGGTTGTGAGAAGCAAAGCCCTAATCACCACCTGTGATATTCTCTCCCACCTTTCAAACCTCAGTCAGTGCTTACATGACCTCACATAACTCCAGCTCTGCCTGGCAGAGAACTGCAGGTTATGAGGGGAACAACAGACAATGAAGTGGCCAAGTCACAGCTCTGCGACAAAATCTGCTTCTTGGAAAGAAAAACTTTAACACAGAACAGATGAAAGCTCCCAAGTGTTCCAAGCTCCTAAAAAAGCTCAGTTTGAGGATATTTCTTTCCTCTCCCTGCTGTCATATGGCACCATTACTCCTGCTATTCCAGTACTACCACACCACACTCATTAAGGTATTTATTTCACTTGAGGCTCCTTCTGTGCTGCCAACAGTGACCAAGTGTTTGACACCAGAGAACTGCTCAGGAGCCCCCACAAACAGGCACATTTCACACAAGTTACCTGAGACTCCTTGAGTTTCTTGTCATAGTCTGCCTCAAGCTTGACTAGAGGACCAAAGATATTTTGGTACTGATAAGCATCTTCATATCTAAGCAGGACATGCTGTGGCTCTTCATCCACACCAGGTTTTTCCAAGTCCTCAAGGGTTGCAGATGGATTCTCCTGGAATTTGAAGGCCAAATGTTGTGTCTCAATGTTTTAAGTATAGAATGTCACAACGGGACTCATGGTACTGTGTCTCACTACTACAGGAAGTTATACCACCTGCTGAAACTACACCCAAGGCATTACATGAGGTCATTCACACCCAGCAGGGTTTATTCTGCTGTTAAGGATGTACAGAAAACCAGCAACTGAATGGATTAACAGTTCACTGATCTAGTTATCATATAAGGCAGAAACAAGTGAAAGACTTGATACGGGCAAGGAAAGTTGGTTTTTTTCAGAGTGCTGAAGAACCTCAGGGTGAAGTTTTCCTGCCTTGATCAACAATTCCCTGAATACTTTGATCAGCTGCACTGATGAGTTAACCCTCAGGTGATCTAAGTACTTTTCTGCCTTATACAGCTGCTCAAAGTCTTGTCTCACCTTCACAAACTCACAGAATTGGTAAGACAGAGTGTTTGAAAAGCAGCAGGTACCTTCCAGAGCTCCTCCAGCTTGTTGATCTGCTGAGCTGTGATCTGCCTTGCCCTCAGCTGTTCCTGCTCAGATGGAATCTTGACCAGCCAGGAGAGGAAGCACCGGTCCTGGATGAGAGGCTGCCACTGGGAGCTGTCCCAGTTGATATCCTTTAAGCTGCTCTGGCTGGCACATGGCTGCCTGCACAACCAAATCATTGGAAAATTATTCCATTAGACACGTGTAAGAAAAAGGCTCCTGTGGAGTGTGAGAACAGGTTTAACATGCTCCTAAAACAACTCAAGTGGCTCACTTAGCAGGAAAAAAAACCACACCAAAACAAGCCTGGTCTGCCAGGACAAGGAATCTTTTAGCTCTTGTATTTGAATCATAGAATTTCTATCTATCTATCTATCTATCATCCAGCCTGGCCTGAATACCACCAGGGTTGGGGCAGCCACAGCCTCCCTTGGCAACCTGTGCCAGTGTCCCACCATCCTCACAGGGAAAACTTTTTTCCTCACATCCAACCTAGACTTTCCCTCCTTCAGTTTGAACCCATTGTCCTGTCACTGCTCCAGTGCTCTTAGCACCTCTGTGGCCTCCTCTGGACTTGCTCCAACAGTTCCATGTCCTTCTGATGCTGAGGGCACCAGAACTGTGTGCAGTATTCCAGGTGGGTCTCACCAGAGCAGAGCAGAGGGGAAGAATCAGCTCTTTACCCTGCTGCCCACACTCCTGTGGATGCAGCCCAGGATTCCATTGGCTTTCTGGGCTAAGCTCACACTGAGCTTCTCATCCACTGATGATTTGCTATTTCAACACTGGGAAGGCTCAGGATTGTAATTGGTATTGCCTGGGTGTTTCCAGCAACTAAGATATTAAACATGACACCTTTGAAAGGAGTTAGAGCCTACTAAGATGTAACAGATATTACATATAATACATGTGTAACATAAATATTACCCTTCATAATATACATGTAACAAATCACTTATGCTATACATGTCATCTACATAATGTGTATTACACATGTAACACATCAGAAAATGGAATTAATTCCCAACTTTCCCCTCACTGCATTATCTACTTGGATTCTTGAGGTTTCTACGACCATCCAAAGGGAAAAGGGTGGGAAAACAGAGTATAAAATCTATCTTGGTACAAAATGAGAGCAAGTGTTGCCCTTCAGAAACCAGATTATGTGACAGAGTGGGCACAACAATGGCAGCAAAGACATTCTCTCACCTGCACAGCAGAACAACCACCGAGTCAGCCTTGGCTGGGATGAAGCCAAGCAGGAACACATTACGACATCCACAGTTGTAACACTCCAAGACAGTCTCTCCTAGAGGTCCATCCTTATGGAGAGTCACCTCTTTGCACTTGGCTCTCACCAGATGATTCACAATGTGGCTGAAAACAGAAAGGAAATACATTTATAGCAAGTTAATAGGACACTTAGAGTCTGTCCCAACTTTGCAGCTCAGTGTTTAAAAGACACACACACAGTGTGGTTATTGTGCTGACACTGGGCAGATCTTGCTCTTTCCACTCAAAGATGTTAGGAACACACTTCCAGGGGCTTCTCAGTCACAGAATCATCATATAAGATTCTGTAGGAATCATAATAGCTCATGTAAGAATCAATAAGCTGATAGAATCATCAAGGTTGGAAGAGATCTCTAAGATCAAATCCAACCATTAACCTTGAAGAGTGTGAAAGAATAGGAAACGTGTAAAAGATTCCTCATGTTTAAGTCACTAGACTTTGATTAGGTTGGCTATGAGGAAGAGATTTTTTATGGAGTGATCAGGCATTGGAATGTGCTGCCCAGGGAGGTGGTGGATTCACCAGCCCTGGAGGTTTTCAAGATGAGACTGGATGTGGCACTTAGTGCCATGGTCTGGTAACCATGGTAGGGCTGGACTTGATGATCTTGGAGCTCTTTTCCAACCTTGATGGTGATTATCACCAAAACACAGTCACAACTACCATAACCCTTCAAAACAAACCCTCTAAATCCAAACTTGTTACTTCCATGACTTCACCACTCACCTGCCTGAGGTGTTTCCACGACCATTACAGAACCATTTCTTGCTGGTGTTGCAGTAGACCACACAGGCAGGGTCATGGATCCCACAGTAACTGGAATTAGAAAGCAAAACCAGGAAGTGACTGGGTCCCTGCTCAGAGGAAAATTCAACTACAAGATCTAAGCCACTTAGATGTGTACAAAAAAAAAGGGGAAGTGAAAATTTGGGAACATGAGTTTGGTGAAAGCATCAAAGAAGCTAAAGTTGTGTTCTGAGTCACAGACGTTTTAACACTTCCCACTACTGCCATCCCTGGGTTGGATTAGCCTTGTCTTTATTCCCCAAGCCAACCAGAAGTGGATGTGGCAGCTCTAGGTCTGCACAGGAGCTCACCAGAGGGTACCAGTCCCCACCAGTATGGGGCTGAGTCCAAGGAAGTTGCTCTAAAGTCCCCAAATACACCTTTGAATCACACAGAGGGGTCTGGAATAACAAGGACTGGGTCTTACCTGCAGGCATGCACAGGAAGGTCCTTGGTGTAATAGGTATCTTCCTCATCCTCCTCAAAGTTGAGCTCTGCCAGGAGCTGGCTGGTCTTGGCCACGTTCTCATCCACAGCTCCATTCTGCAGGATGCCATCAGGTCCATTCACCTGGAATGCAGGGTCAGAGCTTCAGTTCTCCAGCCAAAACAGGCTCCAAAACACAAAGGCAAGGACAGTGGCCCCAGCTCCTTGGAGGAACATCTCCAAAGGAAAGCAAAATGCTGCTAAGGGCTGAAACACACATCATATAATCAATACTTGCTCCATTAGCTCCTGTTTTCCAGGATTATTTAACTCCAGCTGATAAGTAGGAAGAAAGTTACAGGAGGAGATTATTTTCCTGCAGATTACATTTTCCACAGTCTTACACAACTTATAATCAATACCTGCTGCATTACCTCCTGTTTCACAGGATTATTTAAACTCCAACTGATAAGTAGGAAAAAAGTTAACAGAAGGAGATTGTTCTGCTGCCATTTCATTTTTCCATAGTCTTACATAACCAAATCCCATTTGAACAACTCCAGCAGCATCAAATGCTGTTTTTTGCACCCTGATTTTATTCCAGGAAACCACCTGAAAACAGGAGCTTTATTGCACAGCATTTCCCCCACCTATTCCTATTGCTCTCTATCCACCAAATCCACGACACACTGACTGCCAGAACCATGGAATTCTGCACCATTTGGTGCTGTCTCAGCAACTTTTACACCCCCAGCCTTTCTCCTGGTAAAAATAACTCCAAGAGGGCTGATTTCCCAGCAGGAAGGAGCAGAGTGTGGATGTCACACTCAGATTTTGGCCTGGCCAGTGCAGGTGTTGCCCCTTGGGCCTCACAGGTGTCCTGGGTTCCTTCCACACCTGCAGCTCTACACCTTGGGGAGCTTCAACCCCTCAACCTGCTGCTCTCAAGGACCCTCAAAACTTTGTTCAGTCACTTCACTCTTTGCCTTGCTTAGCCAAGATCCCCAAACACCTGAGGAGGGAGAAGTGTCTCGTAATCCATGTTAATCTGGAGGGGGAAAAGGATCAACACAGTGACTGCAAAATATCAAAGCATCCGAGGTGAGTTCTGAGGTGACTTCCCTATCACAGCAAAACAATCAGATGTATTAAACCCCTCAAAAACGTTTTTAGAGGTATTTGATTAGACAAGATTTAATTCTGGAATGGTAACTAGCTAAATGTGAGCCCAAGAATCACTCCAGGCCTTTGTCTTGTTCCTTAATGACTCTTTTGCACTCAGATCTAATGAAGTTTATTTGGTAGCTGCAGCTTAACTCTCTGACAGAAAACTCTCCTCAGAGAGAACACCAAACCTTTAGTAAAAGCAACCTGACAAACAGTTCCTGCAGCATTTTCAAGCTGCACCTCACGAAGCAGAGCAAAACCTGCTTAGTTCTCTGCAAGTCTCATTTTGGTTGCAGAGCAGCCACTTTCAGCACTGCACAGCAAATTTAACAGCCAACTGCAGGAGTTAAATTTACAAACAAGCAGAAGCCTCTTCACATTTGCCCTCAGCAGTTGGAAGAGGATTCAATGGCACCAGCTCTGATTCATTAGCCCCAGATGGAATGAGGTGCATTTGAACACGTGGAAATGGTCTCACTCAGTATCGATGCTAAGATGAGTTTTAATAGAAAGAATCAGCCAAAAGGAACCAGCAGCACACACTGTGAGAAAGGGAAGAGGGATAAAAAGCCACTAAAGGAGCTGCAGCAGCAGCAGCACAACACATTAGTGTGATGAAGGCAAATAGGATCAGCCACTGAGCAGTAACATCTCCACAGATGTCTGAACATAAATATCCATTCTGCATGGATGGTAAGAAATAAAAACAGCAACATAATTTATTAACAGGTGGAATTCCAAAGCCTCGAGTTATCTCAGTTCCTTCCAGCACAACCACCAGCACTCACAGGTGCATTTCTAATGCAAAGAGCCACAATACATTAGCAAATTTAATGCATTTTTGGGTGCTCATAAAATATTGGATTCTTGACGTGTTAAAAAAAAAGGCAAAGCTTATTTTTGGGTTGGTTTATTTTGTTTACTAAGGCAGAAAATGAAGCCACAACAACTGCAAGTTCCTGTGTCCTGCAGCAGGTGACTGTGCTGTCACACCCTGGGGAACTCCTGCCCTGGAATGATGTCACCTGTCCTGTGAAACCCTTGGCAGCCTCACAAGGAGGAAGTGATTGTTCCCAAACTTCTTGTGATGTCAGTCTCTGTACACACAATTACAAATCTGGCACCACCGACTGCTGGGCAAGGGGTGGGGGGAACTTCTCTGCTTTAAAGTGTTGGCTGACACTTCTGGCACAGCAAGTTTGGCAGCTCCAGACTGAGCACTGAGGTCCTGATCCCTTCCCTGGCCTCTAAAATACAGGTTGGGAGACAAGAGTTATGGTTTGGGACTGAGTTATAGGATAGTAAAGGCTTTGTAGGTATTTGCCCAGAGAAGCTGTGGCTGCTCCATCCCTGGGAGTGTCCCAGGCCAGGGTGGATGGGGCTTGGAGCAGCCTGGGCTGGTGGGAGGTGTCCCTGCCCAGGGCAGGTGGGTGGAATGAGATGGATTTAAGGTCCCTCCAGCCCCAAACAATCCGTTCTATGATTCCACTGCCTGAGAGAGGTAACAGAACATATTCCCATCCCAATCCCTGCTGGTGCTCCTGGCACACACCCCACCCACACCAGGAGCTGCTCCCCAGGTGCACACACCTGCATGCACTTCTGAAGTTGTGCTTTAAAGTGCTGCATTTCAAGTTGGAACAAGAAAAGTAATTGCAGCTAAGTAGGGATTTTGCTCGAGAAGTACTTTAGTACCAAGATTTCACTCCACTCGGTTGTGGTGATGCATTTCAGCATTGCAGTGTCCCAGTTCAGGGAACTTCCCCCTCACATTTTATACAAAACACACATTTTTGGACTCGTATGGATAAGCCAAATATTACT